GAGAAGTAGAGAAGCAACGCAAAAGTAAACAGTTAAGGCTTTTAATTTTAGGGCTCTAAAACTAAAATGTGTTCCCTCCCAAACTTCCTAAAACTCAGGGTTTAATCTCAGTGTATGTGTGTGTGTGTATATATATATATATATATGCAGCTTGTCCGAAATCACATGGGCTAGCCCGGTTAGAGCTCTACCAAGTACTGAACTTATCTAGACTGAGTCAAAATAGCTTGAAGTAATTTCGAGTCTTATTTTTTAGAATTCAAGTTTGTCCATTTAATAGATTTTTTTAACCCAATCCATCAGACTAACCCATTTTACCAGCTCTACTTACAAGTATTTCGACAAATGCCTATGGTATGGATTACGAAATTAAAAGTAAAAATATTTTGTTAATATAATTTATACGACTTTTAATATAATTTCAAATAAAATATTTTTAATTTTTAACTAGTATTTTAAATATATTAGTTAAGAAGACTCAATATATTTGTAGTGTTACTTTTTTTATTTTTCTTTTTTATGTTTGATATTTTGTTAAAAGTTTAAGAAAATAATGTGTTATAAATTTTGCGAATGAATATTCTTTGAATTTTTTATCATACACTTTAACTATATTAATTATACCTCACTTATTTATTATTTTCTCTAAAATAAGTACTAATCATTAGGGGTAAATTTATAAAAAATAAATATTATTTATAATTTTACAAAATAATTATAAATAAATAAAACAAAATTACTAGAATGTTAAAAAAAATGTTGTGTAACTTTAAGTAATCAAGTATTCTTAAAATAATTTTTAATTTTAGACAATAAAATTTATTTTTTCACTATGTGTGTAACGCCAAGTGAAATCGAATATAAGAAAAGAAATATTTATTTTTAAAGTTTAGTATGCTAAAATTATGATCCCTTTGAATTAAATAAAAGATGAAGGTAAGTTAAAATGCAGCGTGAGTTTGTCCTGTTAAAATTCAATTGTAAATGCATATAAGTTTATTTTCTCATTTTAAATTATATATATTTTTTATATATATGTTTACGTATATATTTTACTTTGAGTTTATTAATATGTAGGGGAAGAAAAATCTTTTAAGTTGAACTTATATTTAAATAAGACTAATAAAAATAAGAAATGTTAAACTCAATCTATATAAGAAGTTAAAAATAAATAATTAATAATAATAAAATTTTAAAAAAATATAAACTCTTCCAAAAGACACACATAGGTAAATTAAAAAAAAAGTGAGTTAGAATTAGAGTTAGAGGTGAGTTAACCCACTATTTTTAAAGAGTTATAAATAATTATTATGCTTTTTTTAAAATATATACATATTTATTTATTATTTATTTATTTAAATTAATTAAAAATTATGTTTTAAATATAAAAAAATATTTTAAAAATAAAAATTCTGTCAATTTAATTTATTTCACTTTAAAAATAAATTCTATCAAATTAAGATCATTCAAAATTTAAATTTATAAATATTTATTAATTTTTGCTAAGTTTGTAAGTTATTTTTCTTCCTACATAAATTATGTAATATTAAGTATCATATATGTTTGATTTTCATGATGATGGTGTTATATTTATTTTTTTTAACACATTAAATTGCATTTAAATAAATTATTTTGAGTATTTGAATAATAGATAATTTAACAAATTTAGCTAGTATTATTTTTTGTTATCAGTTTTGTTTTCTATTATATGATATTTCTAAAATAATTTTATAAAAATAAATAAATAATATAAAAATATTAAAACAAATAAATCTATAGTTAATACTCAAATAAAATTATAAAACAATATGTTAAAAAATTATTTGTAAAATTATTTGAATAAAAAATATTACTATAGTTTCACAATTATTAATAATACAAATAAAATTTAGATAAATATGTAATTTAATTTGATAATAAATTATTATATTTTATTTAATAATAATTTATTCTAAATATTTAATATTATGTCAATTTAATTTCTCTCTTTATCTATTTAAATAATTTTATTTGTTTATAAATTTATAATAAGAAATAAATATTTTAATAGATTATAATATTTTTATAAAAATAATTGGTTCATGGTTTTGCCTTTAACTCACTTATTCTTTAAGGCTTTTAGTCCTATGGACTTTCACATGATGAGCTTTGTAGTTCCGTGAACTTTTTTATCTCAACCTATATAGATTATGACCAAATTAATTAAAATTCACTCATTTAGTACCTCTATGTGATAATACATTAATACACTTTAAGTTTGAATTATTTGTTTATTTAAAATGATTAAGGAAAATTAGATTTATGCCTCTTAAGACTTATTTTTCTTTCTATAGTTGGGACTACTTTTTTTTTTCTTTTAAATGTCATAAGTCTAATTTTTTTTATTATTTCTGCTTGACCTTTTAAAATTTTGGATTTTTAATTTCTTTTTTTAGATTTGAGCTATGTTAGAATTTTGACTATAAGTTCAATCCAAAATTATTAAATTAACACAACCTCTTGTCAATTGATCCATATGTTCTATGATAATACACTTTAAGTTTACATTATTTGTTTATTTAAAATAACTAAGAAAAATTAAATTTATGCCTCTCATGTCTTACTTTTCTTTTTATAGGTTGAGACTTGTACTCCTTTTTATTTTTAATGTCACAAGTCTAATTTTTTTATTATTATTTTTGTTTGACTTTTTAATTTTATTTTTTTTTGTTTTTTAATTTGAACTCTGATACTATGTTAAAATATTGACTATAAATTTGATCTAATTTAGGAGAATATAAGCTGTAAATTTGAGTGGTCTATAATATTTTAGACAATATAATATAGAGTCACAATTCTCTTTAAAAATGCTGGTAACTTAATTTTTTAGCACACTTTTAATTTTCAGTGAAAATTCATTAAAAACCATAAAATATGTAAATTTCACTCATAATTTAATAATTATTTTTATATGCTTATAGTTTTTAATAAATTTTAACTTTTTTATATATATTCTTTACCGACTATGAATTTAACTATTTTAATAACAGCCAAGAAAGATAACAGGAAAAGGGGAGAGATAATCAATTGAAAAATTATGATTTCATTTGGCGACGGATCCAATTGTAGCTGCCCTTTTGCGGTGTCCACACTAAGTTGGAGCATCTAATTTACAGGTGGTGGCTGATAATAATGGATACTTGGAAACACTGTTTGTTGACTTCTGTGGACCTCCATTAAGACCGAACCTGTATCTGGACCAGCGCCACATCATAATTGGAATAGAGATACTCATGTGATGTCCCTGTCCAAGCTCCAAAATTCCCTTCTCAGACCTGCACATATTATAAGTTGTTACTGTAGTTGCAGTATTTAGTAGGACATGGTAACGTAAGAACATCCTAGAATCCTATGATTTATGATTTATCATTTGCCATTTAATTTGTTGCAATTCAATACTATATATTTGACCAACTAACGATTGATATCATCTGATCAAAAGTATAAATTTTATAATACATGAATAAATTAGTAGAATTAAGTGTCATTTACATAGATCACACAATTTAACAATCCATATAATATTATGATTAAGTTAGATGTGTAAATAATGAAAAAAATTAACGATTTAATAATAAAGATATTGTATGAGAATAAAAAATAATATTCGAAGTGTTTGTTTAAAGGAAATAATAAAAGATCAAATGTAAAAGTCACAAATTTTTTATATATTTTTTTCAATATTTCTCATAAAAGAAATTGAAAAGCCACATAAATTTATATCGTTAAAGTGCAAAGGAACCGAAGAAGCACTGCTAAACATACTCTCTAATTATTCAAATTTTTTAGAATTACATTCTTCTAAAATAAATTTACACTGTTCCTCATGTTATGCAGCACTACATTTGGTTAACTCATTGGTTTTTTTTTTTTTTTTTTTTTTTTTTTATAAATAGAAGCTTCGCACCCATCATTTATGTGGTATAATATCAAACTCATGTTACTGTATCTCTGAATTATGAAATTTCATCCGATTCAAAAATCAACTAAATGATTTACGATTTAAATTGCAGTTCAATAACTAGCATATATGGCAGTTCAGAAATGGATGTGCCCCTTTCTTGCAGCCTAGCTTTATTTTTGCTCATATGGATCCGAATGATTTGAAATGAAGATGAGATATTTGGTCATTTATTTCTCTACAAAAATAAATGCGAAAATTTGTCGATATTATTAGCGCATAAAATGTATGATTGTGACGTTGGTTAGTTTCATCCCTTGCTTTTTTTCTGTGCAGCTTTGTTTGGTAGTACTTCTCGTGTTCCATGCTTACTTCTTTTGGTTTGATCATTTCCATCAAAACAAAGATGCCAGAGATCGTGATCTTTCATTGGTTTTTTTCCCTTGGCGTTATAAAACTTAAGGGCATGCTGAACATGGAACAATATAAATATACAAACTTGACATTAATTTTAGTTTTTTTTCTCTTGGCTGATCCGTACTTTAAATAAGTTCATTGTTTATCTGGCAGCTAAGGGTTAAAATACAAGTAAACTGTATACCTAATCCAAGATTTAGAAAAATCAATTAATATAATTTCCTTGGTGTGTGAATATACATGGAGTTTGAAAAAAAAATATTCACCTAGTTTTTAGAAGCAGGATTTTAACGAATTAAACTTTTGGTGTATTTAAAAAAATTTGAAGTTTTAGTAGGTTAATATACTCTTTCTATAAAACTAGTAGGTGTACGATAACAACCATAAGTGGTAATATACATCTATTTATCTTCAACAATCAAATTAATGTTTTCAGAAGTTGAATAGATATTAACACACCTTTCACTGACTGAAACGTTTTATGCTTAGATGGTTAGATCCCATTTGTGATGCACTTTTCTTTATAGCACACAGGATTCACTGTGAAAGATGAATGCACCTACGCAGCTCCTGCATTTCATTATTCAATAATCAAATAAGATTCCTTCAATGCCAATACAGCATGCATTCCTTCAATGCCAATACAGCATGCGCCCCTTCATGATGTTTAAATTGAAATGCCAAATTTTCTCACCAGAGCATAATCTGTAAGAAAGCCACGGCATCTCAATTTACAACAATTAAAACTTGAAGAACGAAAGTATTGTGAGTTACTCCACAGAAATTGCTTCAAGCAACTTCTGGGTGTCTTCACTCACATCTACATTCTCCATCTTCAATCGCCGTTGCATAGCTGAACTGGTCCTGCCAGCAGCTGCATAAGTTCTGATCAAGGATTCAAACACCTTTGCCCCTAGAGAATCCACAGATTTCTTCAAAACCTCTAGAAATTCTTCTGCACCATTGACATCCTTCTCTTGCTCAAAATGCCTCATCATGTTACCAATGATCTCAGATGATGGAACCCATTTCTCACCATCCCCTCTACCGATTGATATTGCTTTGTCTAAACAATCCACTGCCAACTTCAAGTCTCCTTTTTGCAAATGGTAATCCAAGAAGATTTCCCATGTTTTTGCATTAGGCTTGGCCCCTCTCCTCCGAGCACGCTCCTTGAGATCTTCAGCTTTCTGTAGCATATCTAATTTAGCGTATGCACCTATCAGAACATTTGCAATTCGAATATCATAAGTGGGGCAGCCAGATTCCCACTCCCGGAAACACTTTTCTGCTCCTGGGAGATCCTTCAATTTAACCAATACTTGAATCATATTCAGATAGCTTATATTTGCAGTTTTAGGAAATGCCAGCCTAAGAGAACGCCAGACCCTATAAACCTCATATAAGCTACCTGTTCGCCCACACAATGTAATTAGAAACTGGTAAGCAGAAAGATCTTTGAAAGCATTTCTCTTCTCCAATTCCTTAAGAGCAACTTCTGCCTTATCAACCAAACCAGCATCTACAAAAATAGATGCTAAGTTACTAAATGTTGTCCAATCTCCGGTGACTCGACCATCCCTCTTCATCTCATCATGAACCCTTTCAACACCTGAAATATCATTAACAGCAGCAAGACCTCTCATCCATACATTATAAGTGTAAGCATCCAACGCGATATTACCAGCCTTCATTTCTTGTATGATGGTTGGAATCTTTTCTGGCTGCCCTACTTTTGTATATAGAGTCATAAGACTGTTGTAAGGGATGGAACTTAAAGGAAGGCTAAGCTCCTTCATCTTTTCCACAAGACCTTCCGCCTTTTCAGTCATCAATTCCTTGCAGTAACAGTTTAAAAGGGCACCATAACATAGATGATTCTTAGCAGATTCGGTGAGATCAACAAAATAATTTTCAGCAGCAGCAATACCTCGAGCTTTAGCAAGTAGATCAAGATGTATAGCGTGATCACTGATAGTCTTGTTCATGTTCCTCTTAGCCATGATTTCTGACAGCTGTAACACGAGAAAATGATCATTTATTTTCCATCAATAAATGTTAAGGAAAAACTATAAACTGCTAACTATGAAATCTATATTTAGTACATGCACAGTTTTGTTCCAGACTTGCCCGGATAATCAGAAACAGCACATTATAGAATGTAAATCACACAAGACAAAACAATCCATTACTCAAATTTGAAAGAAGAGAAACATCAATTTCTTTTATTTTAATAAAAAAAATTGATACTCTCGTTTTTACTTTAAAAGTAAGTGAAAAGTTTACCAGTCTTCTATGCATCTATATTGTCTGCTTATGTGTGAATATGTTGCCAGCAATTACCACCATTAGCTCACTACCATCCCTTTGAATGCCTTTGGTACAGCCACGTTCATAAGCCATGACAACAACAGCGTTAATTCAAAATCCAAGGCTTATAAACACACCAATATAATTATTGCACTCTCCCCTTTACCCAATCTCTCTTCAAAGATGCATCAATTAATTAGAAAATCGAAACTATAACATGGAAATCGTATAATAATAACAGTTTCTACTGAATACCAGATCCAAAATCATACATTGTAAAAAAAAAAGTTAACAACAAAGAAATAAAAGTTAAAACAAGTAGGATCATTGACGTGCTCTGTGTCTAAACATTAAAGGCTTAGCATAAAGTAAAAAAGGTTTGAACCCAAAAATGCAACGATGCATATGAATGAGTGTGACCTTAAGAGCGGGTTGATAAAGCTTGCGTTGGCGAAGCTTCTTGAGCGTATCACCAACCTCCCATTTGTAAACGCGCTTTCCGCTCTTGATGAAGCTGTTGAGATTCTGACGAACGCTGAGTTGGGAACCATCTTTGAAGAGCTTTTGGTACAGTGCTTCGTCCAAGTACTTCTTCGACCGCTTCACCACGCTCTTGCTGCGCCCATATCGTTGTATCAACGACATTTCCGAGATTGACGATGTTCCCTGCTTCTTCACACTCCCGCGGATTGGAAACCTTCACGGCGGTAGAAACCAAACCCAAAATCCTAATAGCTCCAAACGAGAACAAGACAAAAAAAAAACTTATTTGGGCTCGTTATCAGGACCCAATATGAATCTTGTTAAGGGCTTCCTGGCCTTATTTTGGACCTCATCCTTCTACTTTCGATACCTTTCTCTTTTTTAAAATTAATATTTTTTTGTAATATTAAAAAAAAAGTTACTACTATTCAATTAAAATTTGAATTTCATCGTCATAATACACGTAATAAATATTAGTATTCAAGATCAGTATATATTATTTAAATAAAATTTTTAATTTTGTTTTAAAAAATTAATAAAAACATGCATAAAAGTTTTGTTCTTTTTTAATTTTATTATTTTGTTTTATTAACTGAAAATAAAATTTTGAAAGGTATTAATTACTCTCAAAAAATAAAATAAAAAATAAAATGACTGTATAAAGTTATGAAGTAGATATCAATATGTTTGATTATATTTTATTAGCCTAACGTTAATTTGAGTGAATTTTTTATTTAAAAAAAATAATTATTACTAATGAGAAAAATTAGCATTCTTAATTTTATATGTCAATTTTTGGACACACTTTATTTTCCTTCAAAATAAAAGAAAATATTTTACTACAACAAATATTTTTTTTTTGTCTATTTTCTATATGCTTCTAGATGAATTACATAATTTCAAATATTAGATGGAATCATTTCTAAGATCACTAGATATAAAAATAATATAAATTTTGAAAGTAACGTCAAGTTTCCATCAACATAAAATTATGTAATTTTCCTTGTCTTTAGATTTTTTTTTTATCACATTCTATAATTTTCTTTTATTTAATAATAAAAAATTAGTAATGAAAAAGTAAAAAGAACATATAGGCCCTATGTCTTGTTAATGTATGTTTTGTTGCATCTTAATTCTAAAGAGATGCTAAACCATTCATAATTTTTAGTTTTTATCTAAGAAAAACTGAAACAACTAAATGTCCAAAAAAGAAACTATCATAAAAAAAAAGAAGGTAAAGATGTACTACCAACATAATTTTACTTTTTTAGATCTTGGAATTATGTTATTTTTATAGTGAATAAAATATTTTAAAATAAAAAAGAACTCAATTATATTTTCTACCATTTGGAAGCTTTTCTTTAGCTAAATATGAATTCTAAAATCAATTGACTTAGTGTTGTTATGTAATATAGTTTTAGATAAATAGTCTAAATATTCATTAATTTGTAAGTACTAAATAGCAAGAAGTCATATATGCACAATAAACATAAAAATGTTTTCTTGCATAAATACATGTATAAAGATATACACATGATATATACATACAAGTATATATAGTACCTTATACATATATATAAGTATGCATTCTCATGAATCAAAGTTGTGCTACTAAATTACATTTTCAATTCAATGAAGAATTGTTGAAGTTTTACACTTATTTAATGAATAGGATAAGATAACACAAAATAACAAATTTTAATCATATTCCTTTTTTTTAACATTTATTTAATTAAGTTTAACGTGACATGATAAATCTATTTATTAGTCTTATTTTATTCTTTCTTCTTATATATTTTATTTGAAGTCCTAAATTTGAAATGTAAAGAAGAAAAGCATTATATATATATATATATATATATATATATATATTGTTGTTGTACTTTTTAATAGATAAGATAAAAATATATATTACTTTATATTATTATAATCTTAATAATGATGATGTGTTATTATTATAATCTTCTTTTAGTGCAGCGCGCTAAAAGACAAAATTGAAGAATTAATCAAGGAAGGACATTTAAAAGATTTTGTACAGACAAAATCCATGGGGCAACCTAACAAAGGAAGAGACCGTTACCCTAAACCACCAAAGAGATCTGACGACAAAAAATTTGAACGATACAGGAGCAGGTCCAGGGAACCCCCAACTAGAAGATATGATGAGCGAGAGAAGTATCCCAAAAAGGTCATTAACACCATAGCTGGAGGGTTTGTCGGTGGAGGACTTACCCATTTGGCCAGAAAGAGGCATCTCAGACATGTCCATTCTGTTAATAATGTTTCATTGGGCAGCAGAATCCGGATCCTGCCTATTATGTTCACTGACAATGACTTTCAAGGAGTCGATCCGGTGCAGGATGATCCCATGGTCATTAGTGTAGACATTCTTAATTGCACTGTTCGGAAAACACTAATTGACCAAGGGAGCTCGGCTGACATCCTGTATTGGAATACGTTTAAGCAACTAGGCATCTCTGAAGAAGAGATCAAAGAATATAACAAACCGTTGGTCAGTTTTTCTGGGGAACGAGTAGAGCCTAGGGAATGTATTGACTTGTATACCTCGTTTGGATCAGAACATGAGGAAAAATGTATAAAAATTACTTATCTTGTAGTACATGCGAACACCTCCTATAATATACTACTCGGCAGACCATCCTTGAATAAGTTGAAAGCCATAGTATCCACTCCGCACTTGGCCATGAAGTTTCCATCTGAAAGAGGCCGAATCGTTACAGTCCATGCTGATCAGAAAACAGCCAGAGAATGTTACTTCGCAAGCTTACGTCTTAGACCCTTTCATGGCAATAGCTGAGACGTCAATATTATATCTCGTCGGTTGGGAGAGGACTTGGATGTTGAACTTGATCCAAGAATGGATGAGGGATATCGGGTTGAGCCTAATGAAAACAAGCAACCTTTCCAACTTGGAGCAAAACCAGAACAAGTTGCTTATTTAGGGGTCGGTTTGAATGCACAAGAAAAGCAAATTTTTCAGGAAATGCTGCTAAATAACGCCGATTTGTTTGGTTGGACAGCCTCAGACATGCCTGGCATCGATCCGACATTTCTTTGTCACCACTTATCGGTCTATAAGGGGGCCAAACCGATAGCTCAAAAGAAGAGAAAAATTGGTGGCGATAGAGCAAAGGCAGTAGAAGAAGAAACCGGCAAGCTAGTACAGGTTGGCTTTATCCGAGAAGTCAGGTATTCAACATGGTTAGCCAACGTCGTCATGGTTAAAAAAGCCAACGGCAAATGGTGAATGTGCACGGACTTCATGGACTTGAACAAAGCATGCCCAAGGGATGCATACCCCCTACCAAACATTGATACCCTAGTAGATGGTGCAGCCGGTCACAGAATACTGAGTTTTTTGGATGCTTATTCTAGATATAATCAAATACGAATGTATCCCCCGGATGAGGAGAAAATGACATTCATCACAAATTTAGTAAATTTTTGTTACCGAGTGATGCTGTTCGGTTTGAAGAATGCAGGGGCAACATACCAGCGACTAATGAACAAAATTTTTGAGAAGCAAGTGGGTAAATGCATGGAGGTGTATGTGGATGACATGGTGATTAAATCCCTCGTATTGAAGCAACATCTTGACCACTTGGAGGAGGTATTCGGCGAAGTCAGGAAGCATGGTATGAGGTTCAATCTTGAAAAATGCACATTTGGTGTAGCTGGCGGTAAATTCTTGAGTTTCATGTTGTCCGAAAGGGGGATTGAGGCAAACCCCGATAAATGTAAAGCCATCATTGACATGGCTAGCCCGAGGAATGTCAAGGACGTTTAACAACTGGCCGGGCGGATTGCAGCCCTTGCTAGATTCTTGCCAATAATGGCAGAAAGGTCTCGGCCTTTCATTGAATTGTTGAAGAAATCCCAAAAATTCACTTGGTCCAACGTATGTGAGGACGCCTTCGTCCAATACAAACATATGCTAGCAGCGCCGCCTGTGTTAACAAAACCAAAAACTGATCAGGAAATGATTGTTTATTTGGCCGTGTCTGATAATGCCATCAGTTCGGTTTTACTTTAAGAAACACCTGAACCGGCCCCCGTATATTTTGTCAGCCGAACACTCCAAGGTCCTGAATCCCGGTATTAATTAATGGAGAAAGTGGTACTTACCCTAGTCTACACAGCTCATCAGTTAAGACACTACTTTCAGAGTCATCAGATGGTCGTACGTACAGATTGTCCAATGGCCAAAATTTTGAGGAAGCCAGAATTGGCTGGTCGGTTGGTAGCATGGACAATTGAACTATCTCAATTTGACATTCATTTTAAGAACCGACGCCCCCTTAAAGCTCAGGTGTTAGCCGACTTCATCAATGAATTCACCGTACAACGACACACTACCTCGAACATGTGGAATCTGCACGTCGACGGATCATCAAATCGACTGGGTAGTGGAGCTGGGGTCATACTCGAAGGGCCGAACGCATTCGCCATTGAGCAATCCATTCGATTTGGATTCAGGGCATCTAACAACCAAGCAGAGTACGAGACTTTACTTGCCGGTCTTAGACTAGCAAAGGAGATGGGAGTTAAACGCATTACCAGTTGGAGTGATTCAGAAATTGTGGCCGAACTGGTTAATGATACATATCAAGTTAGGGACCCGATTATGCTTAAATATTACCAAGAATTCAAGAAAATAAAAGATGAATTTGACGAGGTATGTGTTCGGCACACACCAAGAAACATGAACGAACAGGCCGACAGGCTTGCTAGGCTCGCTAGCCAAAGGAAACCAGGGCAATTGCACAGCGCGGTTCATCAAGAAATCCTCCAACCCATCATCACCAAACAAGAATGCATAGATGTAGAAATTTCATCTCATAATTGGATGACCCCACTCATTCGGTATATCATCGATGACAGCTTACTAGAGGATACAACTTCAGCTAAGAAAATAAAAATGCCCGCAGCTAAGTACCTTCTTCTCGGCAAGCACTTTTATAGGAAAGGAATTTCAACTCCTATGCTTAAATGCCTAGACCACGACCAAGCTAACTACGTCATGAGGGAAATCCATGAAGGAATTTGTGGTACCCATTCGAGCGGAAGAACTATGGCAGCAAAAATACTCAGAGCCGGATATTACTGGCCAACACTCACTCAAGATTGCCATTTGTTTGTGAAGAAATGCATTCCTTGTCAACAATACGGTCCTCACATACACCAACATGCCGATACCCTTCGCCCTATTAGCTCTCCTTGGCCTTTTGCCATATGGGGAATGGATCTTCTCGGCCCTTTCCCTTTAGCAAAAGGGCAATGTAAATTTCTCCTTGTCGCTGTGGATTAATTCACCAAATGGATCGAAGCCGAACCCCTTGCCACCATCACGGCCAACAATGTACAGAAATTCACTTGGAAAAACATCATTACACGGTTCGGTCTCCCTCATGCACTAATCACAGATAATGAGCTTCAATTTACAGATCGGCGATTCAATGAGTTCTTGGAAAGCCTGCATATCAAACACAGAGTTACGTCTGTTGAACACCCTCAGACTAATGGCCAAGCTGAGGCTGCAAACAAGGTGATCTTACATGAATTAAAAAGGAGATTGGGTTCGGCAAAAAGAGAATGGGCAGAGAAACTGCCCAAAATATTATGGGCTTATCGGTGCACGCCGCAAACCACAACAAAGGAAACTCCTTCTCGGCTTACCTATGGTACTGATGCCATGGTGCCAGTAGAGATTGGAGAACCTTCATTTCGGAGGAAGAATTTCGAGGAATAGGCTAATGAAGAAGCACTGGCCGTCAACCAGGACTTAATAGATGAGATACGTGACCAAGCTGTCATTATGACCGAGGCTAGCAGAAGAATGATGGCTAGAAAATTTAACTCCAAAATCAATCCACGACAATTTTATGAAAATGACTTAGTATGGCGAGTAACCAGAGATGCACGCAGGGATCGGCGAGAAGGGAAGCTGACAGCTAACTGGGAAGGCCCCTTTCGGGTAACGGCAATATTAGACAACGGAGCACACAAGTTGGAAACATTGGAAGGAAAACTAATACCGAGGACCTGGAATGTTACACATTTGAAGCATTATTATAGTTAAAGCCTTGTAATCTGTAAACGGTGTATTCTTTTCCTCTCTCAGGTTTTGTCTTCTTAAAAGAAAGTGAAAAGGGGTTTTCTTAGGAAGGTTTTTAACGAGGCACCTTATTAATAAAATACTTCTTTTCACCTACACGGTTTTCTATGCATCAGGGTTTTTCTTTCAAGCACTTCATTCAATTATTTCCCTCCTGAGTACTCCTACTCGGCTAAGGACAAATTATCATTTAAAATTCCCTCCCAAGTATCGCTTGACCAAAGTTGAATTAATTATTTCCCTCCCGAGTACCCCTACTCATCTAAGGACGAATTATCATTTAAAATTCCCTCCCAAGTATCGCTTGGCCAAGGTTGAATTAATTATTTCCCTCCCGAGTAAGGTTGAATTAATTAAATCCCTCTTGAGTACCCACTCGGTCAAGGTTAAATCACCATTAAACTTAAATATTTTTTAATTCGCTAAAGATAAGTTAGTTTAATTCCCTTCCGTGTACCCTAGTCGGCTAAAGATGAATTCATTAAGCATATCGTATGTTAGTACGAATTATATGACCAAGTTCTTAATACAAGGCATAAGAGAAGGAGAAACAAAACAGAAATTCTATTTCAAAGTTACTAATTACAAAATTAGGGCACTAATGACCCATGAATACAAAACAAAACTAATCTAACTTTCAATGATTGGATCCACAACTAGCCTTCGGAGCATCGCTATTGACCGTACATGAAGTTCTGCGTAGTAGTGCCAGAGTGATTCATATTCCAAGCTGTCGACCAATTCTTTCCCCGCATCAGATAACAAATTGGGAGCAGCTAGCCGTCCAGTATGTGTCTCGGTTGCCAGGAAACCCTCAGCAAGCATGTCCAAAGGAATTACAGGGGTGGAGGAACTGCTTCCTTCCTCGGTACCCACCACTCGGTTTTTCTTGCGAGCCCCCTGTATGCCACTAGGCCCACCCGAATGGGCATGCCTTCTCTTTCTCTCCCTATCGGGTTCTTTGCCTTTGCCCTTGTCCTTGCGTTTCTTGGAAGGGCCTTCAGCCGGAACAACATCTCGGGGACGAGGATGAGGCTCTGCTACTTCAGGAAGTTGATCAATTTGAGGATGACGATGTTCCTCAATGGGCGTCCCCTCCGACATTCTTTGCTTCAGATTATGACGGAAAGTCGGCACATCAACACCTCGCTGAGCCATTAAGCCTGCAGTAAAAATAGCAAGTCAAATCAATACAACTCAATTCCAAATACAAATTAAAAATGAGACGACACATACCCTCCATATTCCAGCGAGGATGCGGAGACTTAAGCACGAGGATTACATGTCGGGCACGTAGGTCTCAGGGAAGGGACTTCAAAAATTGTAAATCTGATAACTCCCTAGCCGATAACATGTCCTCAGGGAATACGTCGTATCGGCGCGGCACCTGAGTCCAGTGAAAAGGGAAGAGAGGATTATTCTCGCTATCAAAAAAATAATTTCTATCTACAGGGTCCACAATCACCTTGAAGTAACTGGTTTTGAAATCCTTGAAAGACGAAGCATATGGTTTAAACAAAGGCAACTCGGGTTGCCTTATTAGAGACACCCACCTTGCCAAGTCAGATGGACGTGTACAAAAGAAATGAAGAAAAAGGTCTACACTAGGTTCTATATAGTGGAATTTACAAAGTATCCTAAAGGCTTGTATTGCCGCCTATTCGTTCGGGTGTAGTTGTGTCGGCGCTACATTCAAAACCCTCAAAACCCCCATTTGGAAGTCATCAAAGGGCAGCTTGATACCTAACTCCCTAAACATGTATTCGTACATGAAGAAAGTATCAGCCATTCTGACACCTCCAACAAAAACAAACTCTGGGTTCTCGGTCTCGTCCCCTTTGCAGGGGTTGGGGTGTATCGGATACGGGTCAGAGGCTTCCCATAAAGAAATATCGCAATTATCTACAAAGAGTTGAAGACTTTTATTTATTCTAAAACGAGAAAAGTACGCGGCCACTTCACCGTGCACCCACTCATATCCAGGTATCATGCAAGGAGGAAACACCTGTCTTTCCCTAGGAGGACTAATACTCGGTAAGGGTTCAGAAGCGTCAGTATCACTTGAAGCTGACGACTCGGCTTCGTTGCTGCATTCCCTGACCTGTGCTTCTTCAGCCCTCCTGTTTAAAATGGATGAAACCTCGCTACTCCCCTCGGTTCCATTCATAATGTCTACCTCGACAGTACTCGGTCCTGAGGCATCTGACAGGGAATCCTCCCACTCAATAGGTTCAGCCATGAAAGAAAAAAGTGAAAAATTGAAACGCACCTTACAAGTAGTCGGTAGGGAAGAAAAGCTGAAGATCTTTGAACACTCTTCGGTTTGGAGCAACAATGTGTAGGTTTCGGTACAAAACAAAAGAGTAGAAAATGGATGCAAGGACCACCACATATTTATAAGGGATCTGATGTCGGGCAAATGAAAAGACGCCCTTTCGTTTTGAACCGTCAGATCCCTTTCAGATCAACGGATGAGGTGGGACACCCTTTCGTTTCATACACCCGCCGACAAACCCTAAAAACCAACATTCTAGAATATTCCTTTACAAATTTCTTATTTTTCTATTAAAATTTCCTATCTCGGCCTGTATCGTTTTGTTACTAAACTGATTACCTCTTAGTATAAACCCAACACACATCATTCGTTTAAATATAACCATTACTCATCCACTAAAGACCGAATACCCCCCCTCGGTGTAGGTAAAGACACCTTAACCGACTACCTATTGCAACCTTACCACTGATATTTAAAGCCCTTGCTTCGTACCTCTTTGGGCTTGTGGGGCTAGTGTACTGGATAAAGATCAACTCGGTCCCACTTGTAGGAAAAGGAAACCGAGTACCTATTCGGCATAATAGGCCGGATACCCCTCGCAGGATTAAAAGGTAATTACCCCAATTAAGGGTAATAATCAAAATATTATTTAAATTAGGAAAATGGGCTAAAGTATAAAGGCTGGCTTAGCAGGCCCATCAGCCCAATACAATGCTTATAAAAGGAAAGTAGAAAATACAGTAAGTGGTTGACTTCTCATTATTAAATAGCATTTATTGCTCAAAACCGAATCCTGACTTCAGCATTGGAGTGCCTTTTGCAGGTACCTTTCCACATCAGCATCAGTTAGAGAAACGTCAGTACGCTAAAGCAGAGACTTGAAGACCCGTGTTATCCTGATAGGAACAAATATTATTTAAATCTTGCTCCAATTGGAGTTGGCATCGGTCCTCCGAAAATGGTTGGTGATGGTGTTTTGTTTGTAATAAAAGAGTCCAACATATAGCAGAATCAGAGGAATGGTGCAACAGTGCACAGTGCAGCAAGTGTGGCTTGAGTAGAATCACCGATTGAGGATGCAACCACAGTATAGCGTGAGTGTGGCTGGAGCAGTATAAACATGGTTTCAGATTAAATCGAATATCAACTAAATTTAAATTTAAAACATTCTCTCTCCTCTTTCTTTCTTTCTTTGAATCATTCCCTTTCTTCTTTTCTTAACTTTATTTTTAAAGTAAAGATCAAATAGCTCTTAAAAAAATTATTTTTAAAAATAGAAATCAACATTTTTATCTATTTAATTATATTGTATAGTTTGATACATAAATTGAGTGACTATACTAGAATATGAATGACAAAAATAACGTTTTTTATGAATTTGATTAATAAAACAACACATGAACGATAAAAAAAAATGCACATTTTTTGAAAAATTTTATACTTTTAAGTTTTTATAAATAAATTTCACTTACAAGTGAAACTATTTCTAATTTTAAATACTGATATAATTTTTGAATTTCATTTGTAAAGCATGTGACACTTAAAAAAACTAATAAAAAAAAAGTTTTAGAGTAATATACAAAACTAACGTGCCAAAAACACTTCCATATAAAGTTAATTTAAAAATAATATAATTTTAATAATTAATTTCTTAAAAATATTTAAAAAATAAATAAGCCATAACACACATTAATTGAGATGATTATCTCATTAAGCACAAATTACCTCCCTTTATTTGTTACTGCTAGGGTTTCAGTTCATCAGGCGCTGAATCCAACTGCAGAATCTCCGACTCTGAATTTCGACCGTTACTTGTCGTTTAAAAAATTCACGTCCCTGTAGATCCATGGCGGGCTTCTCTTCTGTCTGAAGAAACGAGGTCTTTGTTATTTTTCTTTTTTCTTTTTCAGTTTTCCTTTTCATCTTTTGATCATAAGCTTAGCTTAAAAAAATCACAAATCATGTAATAAACACGATTCGTGGAACAAACATTTTTCTCGTTGATACTTTCTGCTTGAATCGTGTTTGTTACATGATTTGTGTGTTATTTTTTATTTTTTATGATTCTATGGTTTTATTTCTTTAAATATTTATTTTTCTGAGTGTTCATAGTTGGCGTGTTTGTATTTGTGGTACGTTGGTACTTTTTGCTTGAATCTTGAAATACAGTTTTGTTTGTGTGATAATGAGTTAGCAAATGCTAATAGGAAAAATGTTTCGTTTGCCATGTTCTAGCAGTAGTGAGGCTTGAACTGGCGCTGCTAATTGCAATTTGATCCGGTAATAAGTAATATTGTATATATTCACGTCATTTTGTAGTTCATTTTTGTGTAGATCTGTCCTTGGCGCACTTTTTGGCGTTTTTTTTTTTTTCCGTTTAAGGCCTAAAGAAATTATGTTACTATGATATATGAAGAATGCTAGCAACAAACATTTGAACATAATATTTTTAACTCACTAAAAATTCATGTGAGACCCACTAAGTGAGGTGACTAAATAAGGAGTGGGACTTGCGTCATTTAGTGACTCCTGCATGAAGTTCAACTGGTAGTGTGTAAAGATTATGCTAGGAAGAATGTGTTATTTACCATTCCTCATGAAGATATACCACAAGCTTTGAAGCCAGTTAAGCTTGGTCTTGTGCTGGGGAGCATCTAAAGGATGGTGTTTGTATTTGTAGGTATTTGTTATCGGATATGTGAATAGATTTATTAAAAGTATGTCATCCTAATGTATGAGTAGATCTTTCTTGAACATGTGATTGTCTTGTCTAGTTGCTGCACCTTGAAAAATGTAAATTAGCAGATGATGGCACTTGAAAATGCTGCTAAGTGCTAACTGTTGTAATTGTCTATCTATCTTTCATTTTATTGCATTCAAGAAAGAAGAGCTGCTTAGTGAATGGCATTTTCTTTTGTAAGTGACAACCAAAGTGCTGCTTAGTGAATAGCAAACCCTTGAATCTTATGAGTACAAGTTATCTTCTCACTAGAAAGTGGGGATGTTCCCGATTTTGGTTTGGTTTTAAGGGAAAATCCATCCAAACCAATCATCTTTAATTTAGTATGTTGAGCATGATGCTTACCAATTGCTGATAATACAAGGTACCCATGTTTGCAATGATAGTATTAAAAGAATGTTATCCATAAATCATCCACAAAGAAACAAATGCTTAGCCATTAAAATATTGAAGGACTGAAATCATTGAGTTTCTCTATTTACCAATAATGTACAACTGCTTCTATCAGAAACCTAGAAATCTGCTTAGGTGGTGCACAGTGTCGGTAATTTGATTACATTTTTTAGAGGAAGAATGAGGATCACATGATAGGTATAGCATTACAGAGTAATCTTGTTCATTGGATTGGAATGAATTAAAGGATATGTGCGTGTGCACACACTATGTATAAAGCCATGGTATTTTCCATGGTAAAATTGTCTTAAACCATAGTGTTGTATTTTAACTGCTTAGTTTCTTAAAGAGTTTATATTCATGGTTTAAGATAAATGGTGAAATGTATACTGTTGTTATTAGGAATGAGGAGAGAATCCTGTTCAACAACTGTAATTGTTAATGTTAGGACTTAGGATGCATTTGGGTAAATAACTTGAGGCCGAATGTAAATTTGACCATGAAAATTGTTGGAAGAAGCTAATATGATCTTATTTTGATTAGCTAAACCAAGAAGCTTATTGAAATAGACTAAAAGAAGCTTAAAAAAGTTATAAGCTATTTACATGAGCTCTCCTTAAGCTCATCTGAACACTCCCTTATTCAGGAAATTTATTTTTTATTAAAATATGTTCATGTGTTAAAATTTTTGCTCTGTGTTGCCAAGTGATGTTGATGACTCTATTTTGATAGATCCAGGATTTTTCCCACAAAGTCAAGTGTTTGGTATTATTATTGTTATTATTAAATTTCAAAGAGTTTGCAATGTAACAGGAATTTATTGGGTAGCTAATTATTATGTGCAATTGGGCATTACAATTTGTGGTTTATGTCGGGATTTCTATTTAGTGTTTAGTAATAAACTAAGAATATTTAGAGAAATAAGGTTAGTAAATGGGTTGTTCTGGTTAGATTTTGTGCCGCTGCTTTGGTATAAATGCTCAAACATGGTTTGTCAACATTGCTTATCGGATGCATCATCATGCTGAGTTACTATTACTGCATCTTTCCTGTATATGCAATAGATCTATAGTCATACAAGTTCTAAAATAAAACACCTGTTGAATTGTAGTCTGTTGCTACTTTTTGGGAAAACTGAAGTAATATTAAAACATCATTGATTGAGCTCAACCTCATATTTTAAGTTCTGTAAGTCTTGTTTGTAGATATTAGGGTTTCAGTTATATGACATCTTTTATGATATATATAATTAGATTAAATTATATATAATATATCATTACAATCATATTCAATTATAAAGTCATCCAATTTGGCCATTGGTTCAATTAGCTGAACTAATCTAACTGACAATTCAAACAGTCTGGGCTTAAAAGTAATGGCTTCTGCACCTGCACAAATTCCTACAAGCTTTGGGCATGAGTTGAGGGCTTGTCTTCGTTGTCGCCTTGTCAAAACCTATGATCAGGTCTTATTTCCCTTTCACATTTTCATTTACTTTTTTTTTATTCTTATTTGTTTACATTTTTTTACACAGTTCAGAGAGTCAGGCTGTGAAAACTGCCCATTCTTTAAAATGGAAGAAGATCATGAGCGTGTTGTTGATTGCACTACCCCCAATTTTAATGGGTTTGTCAGTGACTATTAATTTACATCAAAATCTCTTGGCCTTTGAATCTTTCAATACTCATTTTCTTTTTCTTCTTCCATTTAATTTTGCCACAGGGTCATTTCAGTTATGGATCCTACTCGGAGTTGGGCTGCCCGTTGGCTGCGCATTGGTATATTCATTTATCTCCTGTTATCATAAATTTTCCTTGCTTGACTTTCAGTTTTCTTCTCCATTACAATATTCTTATAATGGCATTTCTTTAGAACATACAACATCATGATTTTTTTCTGAAGTCTTTTTCCCATTTTATTTCAACTGCAAAGAGCCATCTAATTTTATAAAGAAATTTCTATTTATAATAATTATGTATAGTAAGATACAATCTAAGGTTTTCAGGATTTAAGTAACATCAGTGTACTTGTTGCAAAAGAACCTTCCAACATATCTAGTCAAGATGTTGAAGCTCAAACTGTATAAAATATACTTGCATAAAATTAAAAATAAGAAACGACTTTTGGTGGCTGTAATTTAATTTGATTTTATCGAAAAATCCAAATGTTATTTCCTTTGTTGTCGTCACTTGAAGGATCTATAGCTTGTTGGGTTCTTTGTTGATGACACTTAAAATGAATATCATAAAGTTCTCCTGGAATCACCTTCCAATTCATGTAAACTCTTTTATTTAGTCTCTTTTACCAAAAGAAGTCAATTTTGCAGTCTTACCAACCCTTTTCAAAAAACATCTCTTTCAAAAGAGCTCCTGAACCTACTTGCAAGGCATAAGCACTGATGATATTGATAGTATCGTGCAAAATTTAACCTTAAAGATTGGATCTTATCCTCAATCTGTTTGACATTCATGACATTTCTTTTCTAGTCCATATTGGCAAGGTTGTCAAAATTGAGTTTCATGGTTGGAGCGGAAGGGGGTTTCTCGGATCATAGGATTGGTGGATCGTAACATGACTCGTAAGAGTCAACTAAAATGGAAAATTATATTTAAATACATATCTATATGAATAGATATAATATATATGTATAAAACAACCCTTAAATCACACCAAACATTTAATTAAACTTCAAAAGATTCATAAGGCAGTATTATCAAATGGTGGTTATGGCAGCGTCATGGTGCCTAACGGTGGCATTTTCCCCCAGAATGCCATGAGCATGGTGGTTTTTAACGGGTTATTGATGGCAACACCATGGTGGCTGTTACATACCTGGCAGCCATGGCGGAAAATGTCAGTTTTTGAGGAAAAAAAATGAAATGGGCCTCTGATTTGACCCAGTTGAAAAGTGACCCAAGAACCCAAAACCATTCTTATCAATAATGCCACCGTCGAGCAGCTGTCGGTTGTGAAATACTTGCTGTTGTCAACTGGTTCTTCCATTGCGGAGGTCAAGCCCTAATCGCAAACAAGTTCTTGGTGTGGGTGTGCATTTTTTAAGCGGGATGGTCATTTAGGGCTTTTTTTAAAAGGCAAAATGGTCCTTTTGTCCCATTTAAATTTTTTCCTTCTCTTCTCGATCAAGTGGTACATACACATGCTCTCTCTTGTGCTCTGTTTTTCTTCCTTCTTCTTTAAAGCCAACTTCTCCTTCATCTCCTTCATCATTTTCGACATCCTTTCTGGCTGTCTTTTGGCATCTATTTTCCATTTTGCTTTGTGATCTATTTTTCTGCTTCATAGCTCTATTTGTCAGTCTTTTAAGTGTCTATTTTGCTTCTTCTGGTGCTATGTTTTTCTTCTTCAAACAGTGCTCTGTTTCTCACTTAGTCTGCATCTTCAGTTTCCCTCTTAGTTTTGCCCTCTCCTATTCTATTTTTTTTCAATTCTGTTTTTCCCTTTCCCATTGTGTTTTACTCCCCCAATTTTTTCGTTTTTCCTTATTATATTGTTTACTTAATTCTTTTTTTCTGTTTTCACTTCTAAGTTTCCTTCTCAATTTTTTTTATTCTGTTTTTTGGTTATTACTTCAGCTTTGTTTTCTCTATTTTACAGCCATTTTATTCTTTTTTTTCTTAAAACCTTCTTTCTTTCATATGTAGTTAGTTTTTTAGTTTTATATCACATTTTGTAGTATTTTGATAATGACTGCCATGCTTCAGCCATAACCCGCCATGGCATCCACCATTATTTTATGGCAGTTTTCTTGCTGTCCGCCATGACCCGTCATTGGCCATTGATAACATCATCATAAGGTCTAGTGATCCATCATCCATTTATGGGTTTTAACAAGTTTTATATTGGATGTTGATGGGCTAACACAATCCTCTCCCTTTACCTAGGCAGATTTGTAAAGCGAAAAAGAAAAAATAAATTTTTGTGTGCTGAATTTCTTTTTAGATTGAATCACGTATTGCAGTTGATTTGTAAAATTTTGGTTTGCCTTGATTTTGCTGCAGGAAAGTATGTTCCTGGTGTTTATACTCTTGCTGTCTCAGAGGCTCTTCCAGAAGAGATGCAGGTTCATATTTTTTAATTAGTGTGATATAGATTATTACAAAGTTGTTAAAGAGTGATTCATGGCTATTTCTTTTCTAGTACACGAATTGACAATTGAGAAATAATCATTTGGTCAATGCATCCACCCACATTATTTGACTGGTCACTATACTTTGCTCCTTTCTAGGAAGTTGTGAGATTTTCTGCTAATTATATGACAACAAAAAAGATAGTGGATCGTCCATTTTGCCCTCTTTCCCCTGCCTACCAAAATAATTATAAAAGTGATGTAGACCTGTTGCTGTTTTAGTTGTAGAATCCTTTGAACAAGCCGTTCTCTCTTTCCCTCCTCAACTTAACTATGATTTTGAAAACACTCCCAATGGTGAAAAAGCTCCATGAAACTCAATGTTATTATGAAACCAGTGGTGTGCTCAGTAACTAGAGTGGTTGTGACTAATTGGTGATTTATTTTGGTGTATTTGGTTGGAAGAACCATGTTTTCTAGGATTGGATAGTTCATAATGCATTTGACTTTGTTTTGGTGTTCAACTCATGTTTTTTATGGGATTGGAAACTGTTGTCATGACATTGCATTTAGTATTTGAGTCATAATAGACATGGTCTCACCAATAGAAGACTGGCAGCTTGATGGAGTGTTCTGTTGACAAGAGTTCTCTAATTGCCTATTAATATTGATTGCCATGCTTCTGTTGTAGGAAAAAAAAAATGATAAAAGTCTCAGGATAAGCATTATTTCTTTTCTGCCTGCTCTGATTAGGTTTGCACAAATCAGTTGATCCTGTGACTTTTGGTGGTTGATAATAAAAAAATATAGAAATCACTGATGTACATGACTTGCAAGATATTAGCAGCAGTGAAGTTCACTGGCCTAGGAGTGATGGTCCAGTTATGATTGTTTTATTCTGCCATCATTCAACTTTTAAAGGAGTAGTTGTATTATCAGTGTCCCAACTCTTATTGGATTTACTTTCACTGCCTAAGTGGCTGCTTTTCTTTCTTGTTGATGCCATTCTCTTTGTTTGCTGTTGCCAATAATAGATTTTCTGCCAAAGCTTTGCTCTCTTCTTACTAGTAAATAGAATCTTCTTTATATTGCTCACTATTTTTCATGACTCTCTAGAGTTGATTTTGTAATGCAGTACCTATTCTAAATTCTTTCATGTGTTAGGTGGATAGTGTCAGAAGAATATTTCAAATTATTGGAATTAGGAGTCTGTAACTCTGTATGATACAAGACACTCACCTAATCATCTTACTTTTGCTATAATTCTAGGTCAAGTATAAGCATAGTACAAATACAGCTCAATACCACATTCCTATCATAAAATAATCTGTTAGTAAACCATCCATTAAAAAAATGTTTACAGCAGGAAAAAGGAGTGGTAACAGAATACAAGAGCCACATGGAGTTATTAATAATAGTGATTGTCTGAATCATAAAATTGTACGATTTTGGAAGCCTTAGTGATTTAAATTGTGTAAAATCCTGGCTGAGTAAAATCGTTGAAAAATTCCAATTTAAATCTTAAAATCCCTCAAATCGTGGGATTTTACAATTTCACTTTGAATTGAAAGTTCCTCGAAAAGCCTCATTTGTTGAACCCTAATGCAGTTGTGGCCTCTTTCATATCTCTGTTTATTGAACTGAATTTGGCTCGAGCAGCTTTGAACCCTAACGTTGTTGTCAACATTCAACTGTCCTCCCAGTGTGTTTGCAGCCTGGTCTGCAACTAAACCCAGCAGTGTGCTTCTGTACTGAGTTCGAGTCTAGTGCTGCAGTTTTTGCATCTTTTCTGTTCTGGTGTAAATTTTACTCATGTTGATGCATGACATTCTTATGGAATATGGATTATGATTTGTGAGTGCTACTTTATTCAAGTGCTTTTACTGATTTAAAGGTTTTTCCCCCCCCCTAATTTATACTATTTTATATGCATAATATGAATTTATATGTATACATATAAATTTTGTAAAATCTTCGATTCAATTTACAAATTTCACTCCCCTTTATAATATAAAGTAAGATCCCAACTTTAACTACCTTGCCTGGGAGAGTTACTTTCTGTTTCATCAGTATTCATCATCTTTAACTCAGTTCATATATCCATTTGATATTCAGCTAGAGTCAGAGGCTTTGTTTTGAATATATTTTCCAGTTTCTTTTTCTACCATTTCTAACCAGTTCTATCATAATCCTATGTAACATTACTTGTCAGACAGAAGCTTACTAGTTACTAAGCTGCGGCTTCTTACAGACATAGCTGTTGACACCTGAAACTATAGGGTTTTATGCATAGAGGGAGGAAAAGGAGATATTAGAGACTGAATACACTGAGATTAATATTGCTCAATATGATATGATGTGTTACAGTGTGATACCAAAATTACTCTTATATATGGTAATACTAGATCATAGTCCTAACTAAATAAGGAAACAGATCATGAGATAATAAAGAAATATGGAAACTAATCCTAAATATAATCAAGATTCTCTACATTTTTCTAGGATTTAATCGAAGTACTATTTGGAGCAGGCCAGACACTTAACAGTAAATGTGGGATAGGGAAGCAGTGATCAAGTGAGGTGTGTGAATCTGTGACACTGGCCGAGGCTCCAGTTGAAGGGTGGTAAGCACAGTGGTGGGGTCATTGAAAAAGTGGGTTGGTGATAGGAACCCAATAACAGTTCTTGAAATGAGTATTCTTTCACTATTAGGAGTTAAAAGAACTCACACCAGCCTAGCTCACTACTATTTTCTTCTCATTCTCTTGCTTTTGTAACAAACTGCTAACTCAGCAAACTCGCTCATGCCTTTGGTGAGCAGCTCTGAGCACTTCTTTCTTGTGGAGTAAACTATCAGTGTCTTGGCCCATTTGGATTTTGGTGCAAAACCTGAACAGTTTAGAGCTTCCTCAACATTAGAGCTCAAAGTATTAGTTGGTCACCAATGGTGGTAGATAGGAATCACAGGGTGGAAAATACAACAATCAGACTTATTTTTACTAGGTGAGATCGGTATATGGATCACACGATACTATTGAACTCTGTCAAAAATCATATTTTCAGGAATATGATTAATCAAAATGTCTCTTTTATTAATTTCTTTTAAGGTTCTTTTGAGTTTCTTTCTACTCCTTTTTATTGTATTAAAAATCATGTGATCCAATCTTTTCATTGGTGCTTCCAAGTCTTCTTTGTACTTGACGAAATTACCTTAGACAATTTTTAGTCATTTTTTTTACTATAGGTGTTGCACTAATATTCTTACTTATACTATCATTTTTTTTAATTTTCCTTTCTTGGGCAACCACATATCCACCTTAACATTTTGATTTTTATCATCACACTTTTTCGTTGTGTTGTTCCTTTAAGGCTCAATATTCATTATCATGTAAGATATTTGGTCATATTGAAGTATGATAAAACATCACTTCCAGCTTAATGGGTACTTTATGATTATAAATAACTTTTGATGCCTTTCTCCATTTTAACCACTCAGCTTGTATTCTGTGCGTAACATCTTTATTAATTTCTCTATCATTCTGTGGAATCAATCCCAAGTACCTAAACTGGATATTTGTCGTATAATATCTCTAATTTTAAATTCTAATGCATAATTCTCATCTTATATTTTGCTAAACTTACTAAACATATATTCTATCTTTTTTAACTTAAGCAAATCCTCTTAGATTCTAAAGTTTCTCTCCCCATAACTCAAGTTTAACATTAAGCTTTCCTATTAAATCTTCAATCAACACTATGTCATCCGCAAAGAACATGCACTTAGGGTAATCCTAAATCTATCCCTATTGAGATGTCCTTAGATATGCTTACAAAAGTTCTTAGACGTGTTGATATCCTCTCGTATATGTCTTGTATAGTCTGAATATATACTATACGAATCTCTTTCTTTTCTGAAGTTTTTCGTAACATTTCTCTTGGCACACATGATCATATGGTTTTTCCTAATCAACAAAAATCATATGTAAGTCATTTGTTTTGTAGCAATACTTTTTCATCATCTTTCATAAAAGACATATAGCTTCTGATGTAGACTTTCTTAATGTAAGACCAAACTTCGTAGGGTAACTCGTAAGTTTAATCTCTTTATAGTTTGCACAATTTTGAATATTACCCTTATTTTTGTATATAGGGACCAAAGTATTCTTCTTCCATTTATTTGATATATTTTTATATCTCAAAATCTTATTAAAGAGCCTAGTGAACTACTCAAGTCCTTGTTTTTTCAAACTTTTCTAAATTTCAATAGGGATATTATCAATGTCAACTGCTTTAACATTGTCTATCCTCTTAAGAGCTTCATTTACTTCTTCAACTCAAATCCTATGGTAATATGCCAAAATTTAGATCATTTGCTTGCACTTATAATCCTGCTATATTTCCATTTGCTCCTTGTCTATCATTAAAAAGTTCATAGAAATATTTCTCCCATATGTCTTTGATGTCTTGATCCTAAACAATAATTTTTTCTTTTTTAATCTTTAATACATCTAACTTGATCTAAAGTTCTAGATTTACATTCTCTACTTTTGGAAAGCTTATATACCTTTCTTTTACCATATTTTTTCTCAAGATATTAATAGAATCTTTTAAAAGCCTTAAAACGTGGTTTACTCACTACTTTTATTGTGTCATTTATTGCATTCCAATACCTTGCGTCCTTGCCTAATTTTTAGAATTGTTGCATGTATGCAAAGTTTAAAAACACATCCTATTATCTCTAATCTTCTCTTGTACATTTTCATTCCATTACCATGATTTCTTGTCTTTTGAGTCCAAAACATCTAGATATAATAATTGAGAGTAGGAAAAGTTGTTGGACCAGAGTCTGGAAAGCTTTACATCACCTCCAGCATCCTTAATAGTTGCCATCATCTAAAGCTTTTATCATGTTAGGTTGATTGTGAAACTTGCAGAAGTTAGCTGAAAAGAGCTTAATTTTTTGAACTCCATGAAGTTTATTTGAGCAAAGCTTATCGTGAAGTCTTCAATTTTCATAATTGTACCTAAGCAACATCTGTCTGAAGAAAGATGCACTAGGTTGCTTGCTGCTCTGTTCCTTCCAGCCACCCATCTCTGGCAGGCAACAATTTTCTGGCAAAGCCCTTGCTTTCCCAGCTGTCCCAACATGTTTTGCTGTCCTGCCCTTATTTTTCATTGAAACATCCATGATTCCATTATGTTTATTTTAGCTGAAGAGACACATCCTATCCAACCTCCATTCTGTCTGTTTTTGCTCCCTTTTGTCTAGTGTAGCCATGGCTCATCTCGGTTGCAACCAGGCCAATAGAGCACTGCTGCTTCAGTCTCTTATTGTTATTGACTTGTTAATTATTCCTTTAGATTGACAGTGATTGTTTGTCTAAACTAGTTAATTATCCTCTGTTATATGTACTCTAAATTACATATATTATTTTAAGCTAAATTAGTAAATTGGTATCTTGACTTTTAATTTTGTTTTGGTTTGAACCTAACCTTTTCTTTCTTTTGATTATCTAACTTTCATTAGTGTTTTCTTGTGACTTTTCAAAAATGCTAACTCCAGTAAAAAAAATCACTATTCATCTTTTTCCCTATAACTTTTTCCCGTTGTAATCCTCTTAACTTCTTCCCTTTCTTTTGTTTCTCTTCCTCTTCTTTTTTTTCCTTCTTATTACTCCTCATCCATGTCTCCACAATATGTTTCTGTCTAATTCAAATTTTGACAATCCATAACACATTCCAATGGATTTTCCAGCTGGGTCTTAAGGGGAGTGAGGTAATGATGGTAGTGTCAACGCTGTTGAGGCTTTATCTCTCATATATCTCATTGGTACCTTATCCATGTTCACCACACCGTCACTTCCACCACAAATGCCATAACCACCGCATTCAACTCGTGTATGTTCTATGCCCCTGACGACACATTCTTCTGTGGCCTTTGCACCGTCATCATTACGTCACTCCTCGTCTTCTCCTACCACTCCAAGGCAGTAAGGTAGGAAAAAAAGGAAAAAGAGAAAGAGAAAATAGAGGAAAAGAAAGGAGGAAGGATAAGAGGACTAGAGAATGTATTTAAGCCTTTTTTTTTAATTATCTTTTATATAGTCGCTATCAGCCTTCTTGCCAGTGTTTTGAGGGTCACCTATTCTGCAGTGCCATTCAGTCAGTGTTGACAACCATAGTATGTGGGATGCACTTTTATTTTTCATTCACTTTAGACATGAACTTGTCATTTAACTCATTTGAACTAATCTGTTACTTCTGGTCTCCGTCAAGCATTTCTTGCCCGATATTTTTCCTTCTCAAAACCATAATTTAACCGTAGCGTCTATGGCCTTATTCCTAGGATGTGCATTTTACTATGATTCGCTGTTTGGGTTTTGTACAATGCAGTAGCCTTGAGAGTTGGCATTTTGATCAAGTGTTGAAAGTTATATAATGTTTGGTTATTTAAGTAACGAATTGATTGTACCATTATGAAATGGATAGTTGTTAAAACTTGCAAGCAGAGGATACACAGGTTCGTTGCCCAACACCCATGAGACGTGTGATTGATTATATTGTCATTTGTATCGTTGTATTTTGAATATAGTTAATATTATATGAAGTGCGTTTATTGATTTATTTATTCTTTTATACTCACTTGCAGGCTATATGTGAAGACGAGCGTGTGCAATATATCCCTCCCAAGCGTTTGTGAAACTCGTAAATATTGGCTGGCACCCTTTAGCTTAATCGGATTGTTTGTATTAATGTAGGTTATAATGTTTATATTGTTCTGGTGCATTCTCTTAAGTGATCTGTCAGAATCAACATCGCTCCATGACGCGTTTTTCTTCTTTTGGGGAGCTCAATTAATATAAAAATTTATCTAAACTAACTAAATATATAAAAATTTCTCAAAAGTTCATCGCTTTAAGAACTAAACACATCGCTCTATGACGTGTTTTTACTTTTTAATAAAATATTTTTTTCTCTCTAATTGATGTGGTTTAGTTAGAAGTTAAACACTTGATAATATAGCTAAAAGGATTGAAAGATTAAGAGTATATTAGAACAAACTGATTTATCTCGAAAAGTAATTTGATTGAAAAATTTTCAGGAGAAATTAATAAAATAATAATCTTGATTCCATCACGATGATTAGCTCTGTCGAAATGAAGTTTTCAAGGCAGAAAATTGCATAATTGATCTCTTTTACCTTAATCGAATGATCAGTCTTAAAGGCGTATAAATTGTAGAATATTTTGTTAGAACTAAAGTCCATCTCCTTACTCTACTATGAATGATATGTTTTGATAGAAAGCGCTTTATTATATCATGATTTGAAGTATAAATACATCGAAAAGCCTAATGTAATACTTAAATTTTTTATAAGAAAAGTACAAACATAAACATAACTTTTTGATAATACTATATCAATTTTTATTCCTATTAGCATTCAACTAAGATAAATTTTTAACACCATTTTTATCTTGAGCCAACGTGCTCATATTTGTTTATTTGATGCTGAACTCAATTAAAACCTTTCTAATATAATAACTTACAATTAAATCTCAAAACAGATTTTGTCTTGCTTTCCTTGATAGCCAGGGTTTCAAACACTTGGAACCCTATGATTCAAGCCATGAAATCTTCACACCGCAAGGATGGTGGCTAGGATTTCAACTCTTGAACCTTAATTGACACCTTAAACATGAACACTTCATGTTACGTAGGATTCTCGTTTTAGCATCGCAACATAAAAATACAATTATTATTTAATTCATGAAAATGCAAAGGTATTTGAAACAATGTATGACAAATCTTTATAAATATATTTTAACTTGCTAAATAAATTTATAGTTGAACGGGAAGAAAATATACATATATATTAGATTTTTATTTAGATATATAAGTAGGATAATTAAAAGGAATGTTACACCCCATAGTAATTTCTAAGATGAAAACATTATCAGACCCATTTTTCACTATCTATCACAAATTTATAATGACAAACACGCTGCCATTTCTTAAATACATAATTTCTACTATTTACATTCCATTCAGTTAGCCTAATGAGTCTCTGAGGTGTGGTTATCCTTGTTTTAAAAAAATATTAGTAAAGATGAATTTTTCTCTTCATTAATAAAACATAATCAACATAATAAATTTGAAGTTCTACAGTATCAATTACAATAATAAACATCCAAATTTCATAATTCATACACATTAACTATGTGATACAATCTATCACTTTCTTATATATGCACTTTCTCGTATACTGTGATCACAGTCAAATGTTGCTTCTTGCATTTCAAGAGGTCTGACACATATATAGGTAAATGGTTGCCGGTTAGTCCATGCACAGATACAATGTACACAATATTGAGTCTCTTAATAAAAGTATAGTTAGGAGTCTAATTGAGAAACGAGTGTGAGGCGTGTGATGTTTTTGCTTTCATTCAGTTTATGCATAATCACTATGAAAAGTATTCACTACTTTCATTTCCTCAAGATTTCCCAAATCATCTCTAAACTCTATACTCTTCAGTGTATCTTTGTAATCATCCATACTAATTCTTTTCACTACCGCTACTAATAATACATTTTCTTTCATCTATTTCTCATCATTCAGTCAAATAATTAGTGTTGAATGTCAAGCACATTTGAACTTAGTCTAAAACATGTATTGTAAGGAAACTATATTTTAATCATTCAAGATCAGCCAAACATACATCATCAACTTTAACAAATAGCAAAACTCTCATTTAAACGTATATGTAAGAAATAAAGAAGCACACTATCACACTTTCATGAGCACAAAATACATACAAGGTTTTAACGATGGGATAGAACTCTCTTTACCTCAATAAGAAGATTTGTGAGATTTGTTGAAGATATTGTCCAAAAGATCAAATTTTTTTTCTATATATTACAAAGTAGAGTAATTTTAAGAAAGGAGAAAACGGAAAAATAGAAGTGAGATTGAGAAACTAAGCTCTAAGAAACTTACTTGAGATTGAGTGGAACAAGTGTCTAAGTTTGGATTTGAGAATGTTTTAGAGTTCAAGAGAGTTTTCTTTGAAAAAGGGAAGAGAGAGTTTAGGGAGAAAAGTGAGAAGTGTTTGCTTGAATTGTAATGCAAGTTTTAGAAAATGAATTTTCTTAAATATATTTTTGTTTGCGGCCTCTCGCCCGAGCGAGTGGATTCTTGCTTGGGCAAGACCCTTCTCGCCTGGGCGAGAATACCAAATTGAAAAGTTTTACACATTTTTTTTGATAATCTTGCCTAAGCGAGACATAGTCAAGAGAACTCCTCATTTTCTGTGCTTTTTCGCTTGGGCAAGAGGATGGTTGAAGTGAGAATGTCCTAAAACGTTTGGTTCAGAAAACTTAGTCTCGCTTGAACGAGACATACCTTGCTTGAGCGATATCTCTTGTAGAACTTCTTCGATTTTAAAAATAAAATACAATAATTAAAATAAAATAAATATGCAATAAATAAAATAAGGGTGTTACACCCTTTTACTTGCTTTAACTCTGAAAAGATATCTTTTGTCTTTACCAATGATTTCAACCCTTAAACGACTTCAAATGTTATAAAAGGTTGGCTAGGAAAAGTCTATCTATATCAAGTTTTTCAGACTTTTACATAGGGTGTGAAATATAAGAAAAGATATTGATTTAGCCTCCAGAAGATATGTTTTATCTCTAACAAAGATATAACTTATTAATATAGAAAGATATGATTTTCTGTTGTCAAATTCAAAGTTCAAATTCTTTATCATAGACCCCTTAAAAATCTCTAAATCAGTTACACTAAGGAAAAAGCACGGCCGTGCATACCATGTAGCATGACTATGCATGGGAAAAAGAGGAAAATAGAAATCCTAGTTTGATGTTTGGGTGAAAAGATAAGAAATATAAAGTTCTAATTGAGAGATCTTTTGATTGCCTTTGTTTAGTGTTATTACTCTTTTTGTTCTTCTAATCTTGTAATTCTTCAGGTTCCTTTCTATAATAATATGTTTCAAGTCCCCTTTATATTAGCTTGGAACTTTGCTTGAGGACAAACAAAGATCAACTATGAGGCGATTGATAAATATATATTTTAGAGTGTTGTTTTAGCTTATTTTCATATACTTGCCTCATATTTAGTGAGTATTTTACATTGATTTTACTATTATTTGTTGCAGCTTAGCATGAGATAAGTAGTGAATTAAAGAAACATTTTGGTCTTAATTGGAGAAAATTTGATAGAAAATAGGGTCATGCATAACAAAAAGTATAAGTAAAAATTATGAGGTCTTGTTCAAGTTGTAATATAGCCAAAGAGGGCTTAAATGATTTTATGTGAGATAGGTGAAGAGAAAAGTCATACAAAAGAGGGGTAAGCCATGAAAATTAATAAATAACCTCTAAGTTTTTATAAATGAAGCTTTTAGATTATTTTACATATTTCATATGTAACTAATTTCTTACTTCTCCTTCCTTTTATTTGTATCTTTTTTCTTATCTTTTGTTTTCATATTCACATTTTCTTTCTTTTTGCACATAAGAGAAGAAGTGGAGGAGAATACATACAATAAAAGATTACTACTTCTTAGACATTTTCATTCAATTGTTCCATTCATAAATTTAACGTCATCAAAATATTTTATACAATTTATTGCATTGGATCAACAAAAAATTAATCAAGCTCAAAGGGGACAACTAGGTATATCTTAAACATGTTGAAGGCCAAAAATAAAAATCCTATTATGTCTCAATCATATTAAAACACATAATAAAATAAAAGTGGCTGAACTCAATTACAACTCAAGTTCTAAAGCATAAATCTAAAGAAAATAATTACACACAACAATAAGGAAAAAGAGGTATCATTAATTAATTTAGGATAAAAATATCCATAGAAGGCTTAAAACTCTAATATGTGGATTAAGTCAAATGTAGAGCAAAAAAAATAGGAAACTTAGTGTTGCAACGGTACGGCAAAAAAAGTATTTAAGAAAAATATTTTTCAAGAATAAAAATATTTTTCTAAAAATTATAGGAGTTGCTACCAAAGTTTATTTTAAGAAAACTTTGGAAAAACTTAAAAATAATATGATTTTTGAAATCAAAAATGAGTTCGGGAGTCATTTACGTATAGGAAAGGTATTAGCATCCTATAACGTCTGTTTAAAAACAGTTGCCTTAAATTATTGTGTAAATTTATCTTAATTTTAAAAAAATATTTATTTAACCCCTAAAATATAATTATTTTTTATTTTCATTTTAGAAGAAAAAAATTATTTATTGAGATATTGTTTGGGTATCTTAACAAAGAAAAAAATTATTTTGAAAATTATTTTGATTTAACAGGTCCGGTTTCTATTCCTACATATCCTCAAGTGCAATAGAGAACTTAAAGTCACATAGTTCTATGTAAAAATTATTAAGTTGATTGATTGAAATTAAGTTTAGATAAAAAAGATTATTTTTTGAGATTAAAATTAATTTATATGATAATATATAGGATATGATAACACGGTTATACATGTATCCTACGAGAAATAACACAGAAGGTGAAGGAAGATCATACAAATATATTACAAATCGTAAAAAAATAAATAATTATTTTTATTTGTAAATGAAATATTTAAATTTATATTTAAATTATGATTAATGTTGAAAGAAAATTTAAGACAGCGTAAGCCACACTTAAATCTCTGATAATTTTTGGATAATTGAAGGTAATGTAAATCACACATTGATGTTGTAAAATTTTGCATAATAAAATGAAGAAATGAATGATTATTTAATTTATCAAAATTTAAAAATGACTTAAGAAAAATAAAAATATGAAATTAATTCTATTTGATGAAAAGAATAACATTTAAATTGATTAA